GCACACAAGAAAAAAATATCATGAGCTAGCAGACACAGACTTAGAAAATTTAGAAACTGGAATTATCTCCAACAAACAACAAATGAACTACGAATATAGGAGGCCCTTCATAGCCACAGATTCACTCAACCAAGGATTAAAAATATATGTATATTTTTAAAAATATGATGATAAAAAATAATAGAAATTTTTAAAAAGTCATGACAGTATAACAATATTTACATAGCATCTACATTGTATTAGGTACCATAAGTAGTCTAGAGATTATTTAAAATACGTGGGAGGATGTGTGTAGGTTGTATGCAAACATTATGGCATGTTATATAAGGAATTTGAGCTGCCTGTGGATTGCGGTGTCTGCATGGGGTTCTGAAACCAATCTCCCACAGATACTAAGGAGCAACTATACTAAGCCAACAAAAGCAAGATTGTAATTTTCAGCAGGTAACTAGAAACAGCAAGAATATCACCAATATCTTTAGAAAAATACTGATGCATTGATTTAATAATCTTGATGAATACAGGGCAAGATAAAGAATTCCACACGATGATTTAACATTTCCTCTACCCCTACAACCACACTTGACTAGGAGAGAAAAAAAAAAGAAAAAAAGAATTCCACACAAAAACATCAGAGTGAAACAGCAGAAAAATTACAACCAAAAAAAAAAAAAAAGAAAAAAAAATTCTAAAAGACAGATTTCCTTCAAAGCAGCACGAATTATTAGGTTGGTACAAAATTAATTGTGGATTTTGCATTGTTGGAATTTGCCATTTGATACTGGAATACATTCCTAAATGTGGTTATGTTATATATCATTTTAATGGGCATTTCTCACTTTATGTTTTTTTGCTAATGACTTATTACTTGCTGTTTGTATTTATTTTGGACTATGGAAATGATGCTAGACAAAAAGCAAAGTCGAGTGATTTTCTTATTCAAGTTCAAAATGTGTCGTAAAACAGCAGAGACGACTCACAACATCAACAATGCATTTGGCCCAGGAATTGCTAATGAACATACAGTGCAGTGGTGGTTCAAGAAGTTTTGCAAAGGATACCAGAGCCTTGAGGATGAGGAGTGTAGTGGTAGGCCACTGGAAGTTGACAACAACCAACTGAGAGCAATCATTGAAGCAGATCGATCCTCTTACAATTACAGGAGAAGTTGCTGAAGAACTCAACATAAGCACTCAACGTCGACCATTCTACAGTTGTTCGGCATTTGAAGCAAATAGGAAAGGTGAAAAAGCTTGACAAGTGGGTGCCTCATGAGCTGAGCAAAAATTTAAAATAACACCATTTTAAGTGTTGTCTTCTCTTATTTTCCACAACAATGAACCATTTCTCAATCAGACCGTGAGGTGCAACAAAAAGTTGATTTTATATGACAACCAGCAATGACCAGCTCAGTGGCTGGACCGAGAAGAAGCTCCAAAGCACTTCCCAAAGCCAGACTTGCACCAAAAAAAGGCCATGGTAACTGTTTGGTGGTCTGCTGCCGGTCTGATCCACTACAGCTTTCTGAATCCTGGAGACACCATTACATCTGAGAAGTATGCTCAGTAAATCAGTGAGATGCACTTAAAACTGTGATGCCTGCAGCCAGCATGGATCAACAGAAAGGGCCCAATTTTCCACAATAACACCCAACAGCACATTGCACAACCAACACTTCAAAAGTTGAACAAACAGGGCCACAAAGTTTTGCTTCAACTGCCATATTCACCTGACCTCTCATCAACTGACTACCACTTCTTCAAGCATCTCCACAACTTTTTTCAGGGAAAATGATTCCACAACCAGCAGGATGCAGGAAAAGGCTTTCCAAGTTTGTGGAATCCTGAAGCATGGGTGGATCACTTGAGGTCAGGAGTTTGAGACCAGCCTAGCCAAAATGGTAAAACTTCACCTCTACTAAAAATAAAAATATTAGCCAGGCATGGTGGCACATGCTTGTAATCCCAGCTACTCGGGAGGCTGAGGCAGGAGAATCACTTGAATTTGGGAGGCAGAGGTTGCAGTGAGCCAAGATCATGCCACTGGATTCCAGCCTGGGCAACAGAGTGAGACTCCATTTCGTGGCGGGGAGCGGGGAGAGGCGGAATCTTCAAAAATCAAAAATAATAATTTAATAATTTGAGGTTAAGAAAGGTTTATGTATCTGAGTTGTTCCAAACATAAAGGTTTCACAGTAACTGAATCAAGTGCCAGTTTTTAAACTTAATTGAACACTAAACAAAACTAAAAATTCAGTTCCTCAGTCACACTAGCCACATTTCAAGTGCTCAAAAGCCACACGCAGCTTGTAGCTACTATAATGAACAGCACAAGCATAGAACTTGTTACCTGGAGTTTAAACTACATATAAAATTCAAAGAACAATGATAGCATATAAGACCTACATGAAGATAAAGTTGCCATCCCAGAAGAGAGTAATGCTCCAAGCACAGAGAAGATACTGGCCATACTGCTAGAAATCCCTGAGTAAAACAGACAACCCAATTAAAACACCAAACAAACAAACAAACAAAAAAACAAACCTCCACAAAAGATTTAAAAAGACAATGCACAAAAGATTTAAGAATTAAAAAGGCAATTCTAGAAAGAGGAAATCCAAATAGCCGGTAAGTTTTTGAAAAAGTGTTCAAACTCTTTAGTATCCTGGGCAGAGTAAATTAAAACAACAATAAGATAAAGCCACATTCCTCAATTTGGGAAAAAGGAAAAATAACTCTTGGTGAGACAGTAAAAGTAAAGGGATCTACCATATACTGTTGTCAGGGTATACACTGGTGTGAATTTGAAGATAAACATACGTACTCTACAAAAATCCATGGTAATGTACATAAGAATACATGTACAAGAACATTCATAATAGTATTGTTCATAACTGCTAAAAACGAAACAATCCAAATGTTTATTAATATTAGACTAAACTGTGGCTCATTTCCATTAAGACTTTTTACACTATACTTTTTATACTATAGATTACTATAATCCAATATAAGAACTAGAGCTAAATGTACTAATAGAGTTAAATCTTAGCTGTATGAGAGAAAAAGATACATAATGATATGTAATATATAATTCACTTACAATTAAGAAACAGGCAAAACGAATCTAAATTGCTTAGGAATGCTGACATAGGTGGTTAAGAAATCCTAAGAAAGAAAGCAGTAAATAATTGCCATAAAAATCAGGATAGTGTTAACCTCTGAAAGAACTGAGGAAGGGGATGATCAGGAATAGAATATAGAGGGCAGCTTCTCAGGGGCCACAAACATTTTAATTCTTGACTGTGGTAGCGGTTACATAGAGTTCACACTTTATAGCTATTCATTATACTATGTATCGATGTTTGCATGCTTAAATACTAAATGTATGGAAAAAGACACAAAAGATTTAAAATTGTATCTAAGGCACATTAATTGCCTTGCTGTATTTTTTTTTTTCCATTACAAAGTGGCAGACAATTGGTTACACTATAAAGAAAATTTTAAAGCACAGGAGTCTACTTTTGATTCCATCAGACATGATTACCGTACACAGTACAAAAGATAGTAAGGGCTAAGCAATGGTGCACAAATGGGGTCCACTATCCAAATTTACAGAAAGTAAGATGTGGAAAATTAGTAACTTTAACTGATAGTGTACCCCTAAAGAAACTACACCGGCCGGGCGCGGTGGCTCATGCCTGTAATCCCAGCACTTTGGGAGGCCGAGGTGGGTAGATCACTTGAGGTCAGGAGTTCGAGACCAGCCTGACCAACATGGTGAAACCCCCGTCTCTACTAAAAACACAAAAAAAATTAGCCGGGCGTGGTGGCACATGCCTGTAGTCTCAGCTACTCGGGAGGCTGAGGCAGGAGAATTGCTTGAATCCAGGAGACAAAGTTGCAGTGAGCCCAGATCGCGCCACTGCACTCACTGGGAGACAGCAAGACTCTGTATCAAAAAAAAAAAAAAAAAAAAAGAAAAGAAAAAAGAAAAAAAGAAAAAGAACCTACCCAACAGAATTAAATACCAACATAATAAATATGAAGGATTTTAGATTCTTGGTTTTTGAAAAACGTACAAAGATGATATTCCTTCAAAATACCTTTACAAAACAACTGAGACTGTAATGGTTTATATTGATTGTATGAAAACAATGTGAAAAAGAACCAGTACTATTTCACTATAAAAGCTTTACTAATGTAAATTTATAAATTCTTTCTTAAATATTTGAATTCTAATTTTATGATAGAAATTCATTATTTTCATCAAAAACAGCTGGCATTTGGGAAACCAAAGGCTCAAAAACTAAGAATAGTAACCATAGAAGACGAAACGGTCCTTTTAAAACTCATCATCTACACTACAAGGGGAAACTTTGATCACGTCCTTTCTCTTCATCAATCGTAAAACTCAACATTAAGGACTACACAATCCCACATCCCTCTCCGAGAGAGAGCAAAGGCTTTGTGTTGTAGCAACAATGCAAGACACGGAGGGAAGCTCCACTCAAGACTTCCCTGCCTGCTCCTTCCCCAAAGTCACTCCAGAATACCAGGGAGGGTTAAGAGGTAAGGCATGAAGAGCGCAATATCCAATATAAGCAAAGCGTCTGATGCATCTGGTCAAAATGCATACAGAGGACTTGTCTCTGTCCCTAGATACAGGTCTCCCGTTCTGCAGTCATGAGGATCAGCTGCTGAGACTTCACAGTTCCCTTCTCGGACCGTCACGCTCCTCACTTACCACCCCGATGCAGAGCTAGTCTCAGGACTCCCTGCACGTGTCAAGGATTCGTCGGCAGGCTCATGGGGGTGCCAAATGACAGAGCTCGCCTGGTCCTGGCCTTCCCGGCCTATACAAGCCTGCCCCCTTCCCAATTTCCAGTCTCCACAGCCTTCCATCCTCCCCCTTTCGATTTACCTTTCGCCACCGACGCCCCTGGCCTTCGTTTGCAGCAAGTTTACCCCACCATTACCTCCCGCATAAAAGCCTGCCTTTACCAGGGCAAAGGGGGGTACCAACGCCTGCAGGAATTGCTTCACCGGATCGGCTGGACGCGTCCTCTGCTAGGCTTCACCTGCTGTTGGCGACGGTACACAACCACTCCCAGCATGCCCCGCGCACGCACCACCTCTCCCACCCCGCCCCTCTCCCGCCCAAACACGTGACGCCCTTTCGTCTCCGTCCACGCCCACTTCCGTTCCTCCACTTTCCCTTAGGAAGGAGGAGGGAGCTGGGGGTGTTAAAAGCGTAGCGACTTCCTCCTCTTCCCCGCCCCCGCCCCTGTACCCCTTGCTACAATGTCTTCCGGGTCGCGAGCGCCTCTGCGCCTTCTGGGAAAATAGCTCATTTCCTCCCCTCCCCCTCCTCCTGCCTTCAACCAACCAGCCACCCGTCAGAGAGGGACATGCGCAGTGAGTGCCTCCCGTCTCTTCTACCCGAACCCCCCTCCCCCCCAAGCAGAGAGACCCCAGCAGCAGCAGCAGCTGATGATGAAGAGAGAGGCAGTGGCAGAGGGGGGGCACCTTTTATTTCTATTTTTAAAGGGACAGGACACTAATTCTATCCCACTTCAACCTTGAATTGAGGGGGGTGGGGGGAAGGCGGCTGAGTTCCTTCCCCCACCCTCCAGCCCTGAGCTCTGAGAGGGGGATTGAGCCTGAGAGAGGAGGAGAAGGAGTTTCTTCTTCTTCGAAAACCCCCATCCACGACTCCTACCCCCTCACCCCTCCAACTCGCCTCCCTCCCGAGCCCCCTCCACCCTCCTCCTCTTTGGCCGTGAGAGGAGGAGAGAAAGAAACCAAAAGCCTCTTAGCAACACAGACCCTTTGCTGCTGCTGCTGCTGCTGTTGCTGCTGCTGCTGCTGCTACTGCTGCTGCTGCTACTGCTGCTGCTTGGCCCTGGCTGGAGACATCTCACTACACCCAGGAGCAGCCACTTCCCCAGCTCTCCTCCTCCTCCTTCGCCTCCTCCTCCTCCACTCCCCCCCTTTATTACCCTTTGTGTCATCCTCCACAGCTCCAGGGAAGGCACTCAAAAGTGGGGGGCAGGAAAGGTAAGTGTGTCTGTGGGGGCTTCATTGCCTTCCTCTGGCTCTGACTTTCACTCCGGGGCAACAGTAGCACCAAACCACATACGCAGTGGAGCTCCGGGGTGAGGAGGGGGTGGTGCTGGGGGGGGGTGAAGGAGGGGTTGGAGTAGGGAGGGGTGTGTGAGATGGGGTGCCCATCCTGTCAGGGGAGGAAGGGCACTTTTATTTTTATTTGCTGTTGTCAAAAGTGGTTTCTCTCCTCCAGCTAACATCTGATTGTGTCTTGCTCCAGTGGGGGAGAATACAAAAACAACCCCCTCCTTCCTCCAATGAGGCGCCAGGGAAAGAGACAGAAAGAGGCACACTTTCTAGATGTCACTTAAAAAAAATTCATTGGAGAGCTCTTTTTCCCCAGGAAAAGCTTCACTGCATTTGTTTCTGAGTGGGAAAATGTCGGGATCTGGATTGTATTGGAACTGCTTATCCATTTGTAGACCTGAGTGTTTTCCCCTTTTTGGTCCTGTATGAGATTTGGATATTGACTTTAGTGTTGGAAGACTTGATTGGTTTTTGCTTTAGGGGTTTCATTTTCCATTTTTTCGTTTTGTCTGACTTCCATGGAAAATTTCAAATTTTTAGTTGGTAGAGGCCTTTGGTTAGGTTTTGACTTGCATTATTGCTTTTTTTTTTTTTTTTGTTAAATGTCTGTTTCATATATCAGTATATAAAGTCCAAAGCTCTAAAACGCTTAAAGTTTAAATGCCACTAGTATTGTCTGTTCCCACATATGTTCCTGATACTTATTTTCCATATGATGAGAATATTAGGTATTTTATAATTAATCTGGGTATTTTTGTAATCTTTGTAACTTGTCTGAACAAGTAGTCCCCATTGAAAACTTTATGTTGTTCTGGCTGCATGGAAGGCCAAACCTCTCCATCAATAGTTTGCTGGATTGGTACCACTTTCAGTTTTAGCTGAATTATTTATTTACTGTTGAAAATTGAGATGAGCTTTTCATCTCAATTTCTCTTCGGGTTCTGAACCAAATTGCTCACTATATGTAAAAGGACACAAATTTCTAAAATATGTTTTGATGAGTCAAAGCAATCATGAACTTATAGTTAGTATATTAATTTCGGTTAGCTATAAATTGAAAGGTAAATCCAGATTTAAGTTTATGGAATAACAGTATTGATAAAAATCACTATTCATTTTTCTATAGTATGTTCTTAGTGCATAGCTTTAAAATCCAGTGCTGTATTTTATTTCACAAATGCTAGAAAGTATGTTTCTGATGTAGGCCTTTTACTAGGGCTTATATTGGAAAGTGTTATTTTGTTTCATATATACATTTCTTTATTCTCTCCTTGAAGATGGATGCACACATGCATATACACACACTCTGTCGCTCTCGCTCTCTCTCCCTCACACCCTTTTTTTTTTTTTTTTTGTAACTGCATTGGTATCTCTGATCCCATAATTTATGTCAGCAAAAAATATTCTTCTGTAAAGCAGCAATTTTGTGATCAGACTGGCAATATGAAAACAGCAATTTGATCAACTAGAAAGGATTGAAGAAATACAAATCTAGAAGTATATTTGGCATAAATATTATAAAGACATGGTAATACTTCTAATTTTTTATTTGCTTGATGGTTAAAGTTAAAACATAGTATACTCATATTTTAGTGACAGTAAAGCATTGCATATGTAGAAACTTGTTCTGTAAAATTTTAATTATCAACTGTGTGCAAAAGTAGACATTTACATACCGAAATAAAAAAGCTTTATAGCAGTAAACAATATGATATTATTTCCCTTCTGTTATAAATTTGAACAATTTTTTACCTTTCTCTGAGATGTAATTAGTGTGCTTAAGCAGAAATCTGTGTCAAGTTCAAGTTTTTCTCCCAACATCAATACTGCAATTCCAAGTCCTTGTAAGGTTTCTTGTTCTCACCTTAAAACCTCAGCAACCTTAAAGGTAAGAGAGAGACAGTAGAACTTACTGAAGAAATTAATTTTAAGTAAGCGAATTATGTAGGTAATTGGGGTGGTAGTTGCCCAGTAGGCAGCTGAGTGAAAATTTAGTCTTGAGTTTAATGTCTTTCCTTATTTTGTTTCTTTTTTTTTTTTTTAAACATTTTTTATCACACCCCTCACCCTCACCCCCATGATCCTTTTGGTTAGAAGATTCCAGCCTTTATCTGAGTTGGATAATGATTTATGTTTAGAAAACCTTGTTAAGTATTAAGAACTGTTGATTCTTTAGGATTGTAATTGTTCAACTGGGTGATATCTTGGAGGTCACTTTATCCAACTCTATATATTGCCGAAGTTCTGAGAACTCGAACTTGCCTGAGGTTCCAAGGCCTGTAAGTGGCAGAGAAGGGAGCAGAGAACTCAGGTCTCCTGATGCTCACTATGCTGCACTACCTCATTTCCTTTGTCAGAAATGAAACTATTATGTACAGTTCTGGGTATACCACTTGAGGATTTCATATGGGGGCATATTATTGTACGAATATTAAGGTGAATAGCTTTAAAGCTATTATTTTGTCTACTTAAATTCAGTAATTTGTTAATTTTTTAAAGACGTACTAATTGTACTTATTGTAGGTTATTACTATTTTGAAGATAATTTCAGCTTTCTCTAATACTTATTTTCCTCCTGCACTTACAATTAATCAGTAAATATACTTACTGTTGTATTAAGAACCCATACTTATAAGAATAAATGGAATGCATATTCTATTATAAATGCTTACTTGTGAGTCTTGCCCTATGTACTGCCTAAAAACAAACATTTTTATTTTGTTAACACATCCTTCTACTCTCAGCACAATATCTGGTACACAGTAGGTCCTACTGGTAGCTTGTCATAATCCGTGTTAGTTTTAGAGTTAGGCATATTTGAATTTCTTTACTTCCATATGTGGAATTCGTTTCCTCTCCTTTTCTTGTCCTCCCTTGCCACAGTTTTCACTACCATGAACGTTTTTTCTTTATCCCTACTGTGGCTCTCATTATATCTAATTAACAGCCAAAGTAAATACTATTAGCTATATGGTACTCATAGTAACAAGACATATTCCCTTCTTATACCAGAAAAAATTTGGCAAAAGTGATTTATTATGAATAAGCAACAATGATCCAACACATTCCAGTTAAAAATATGCTTGTAAAAATTGTTCAGGATGCACTTAAATTTTGTTTCATTGACCGGCACAATAGGTTGTTGGAATGATTAGGCCGCTTTTACCAGCTCTATAAAACAAGTGCTACTTAGGTGACATGTTTCCCTGACTTTGTTTTTTTGGTCCTTACCCAGACAATTATCAACTTTCCAGTTTTCTATGGATATGAAGATATACTCCTAGTCATCAGTGGGACCCCCATGAAGTCAGCCAGAAAGCCTATATCCAACTTATGTACCTTTGCAAACTTGTCTGGATTTTGACTGTATGTGCAAAACAGATTGTATTTAGCGATTCATTAAACATCTTTTGATCATCTGCTGTCTGCCAGGCACTGTGCTAGGCATCTGAAAAACAAAGATGGTCCCTGCAGTTTAATGTGAAGAGCTACCTTAATTGTATTCCACAAGTGTATTGGTCATATCTTTGTTTTGGTGTTTCTACCTAAATAAATTTTATATTAACTAAACGGATACTGTTAGGTGGAAAAATGCATGTCTAAGAAGAATATTGCTGTTATTTTATTAAAATACAAATATATAAAGAAAAATTTTCCACTTAATACTGTATTCTAGGGATTTATATTCTGTAAATAGTTAACACATTTTAGACAATGAAAATAGTCTTATGTGGCTTCCTTTGCTGGATTTTTATTGCTAACCGTAATTCTTTTAAGATGACCAACAATGTTCATTAAATTATCTCATTAAATTTTTCCGGAAAAAACACCCCAAACTCTCTAAACTTAAATCTTTTTTTCAAAAGTAACTTTTTTCTTTTTTACCTCATATAACAGATTATCATTCATGATTCATTGGAAGACATTGTACATTTTCATTTTGAGTTTTCAGATATTTTCTACCATATTTTAGCAAATCTAACAGCATGATTTAAGTATTCTGCAGTAATTAGAGTGCACTATTTAGGAGTTTTGGAACTTTTAGTATGTAGTAGAAATATCATTGCAAAATCCTCATAAGAAACTTCCCAATTCTAGTTCTAAATCAGTTGTAATTTTTACTCTTTATTAAGTGGTATAG